GAATTTACTGACCGGAAGGTCCGTGGTTCGAACCCGACTTCTGCCTCTCGACTTCCGTGTCTAGGCCTGGGCAACCTGGCAGTATCCTAGTCCTCGTGCAACCTTCGTGTGGGCAGCCAGCTACGCATCGAAAGGGTGCTACAGTTGAACGACCTGTGTCCCTTGCTAGCACTCCAGCCCTCAACTTTGAACTGTACACTTACAAGCAGCCTGTTGTCACATCGCTTAGTTCGACAGACTCCTGCTTCGTTCATTCTTCCCGCATAATCTTCCAACCCAACCTCTTGTGCATTCGCATATCACATATTCCTTCGTTGTAAACAGTAAGCCGGCTTTCTTTTGTCTGTTGTAACCGTATCTTCTGAACTTCAGCAAGTTCGGACATGTTGAGACATGACGCACTGCTCATAAGGTTACTTAAAACCCTTGAACAACCCAAGTCCGGTTTCACCCTTCTTGAGATCTTGAGGTAGGCACATCCCCCGAATACCTGTCTACTTTAGGTTCTACTTGAACCCAAAGTGGACAGATTTCAACGAATTCGGTTTCGACAGGAGACTCAACTGAATCCCTCCGTTATGATCTGGGAACAACGGATCAGCAATTCTGAAGTACGTCTAATGGTATTCGGAAGAAATAACTCACCCTCGATGCATGAACTGATCACACTGCATAGGTTATCTGGAGGTAGGCACATCCCCCGAATCCCTGTCTACTTTAGGTTCTACTTGAACCCAAAGTGGACAGATTTCAACGAATTCGGTTTCGACAGGAGACTCAACTGAATCCCTCCGTTATGATCTGGGAACAACGGATCAGCAATTCTGAAGTACGTCTAATGGTATTCGGAAGAAATAACTCACCCTCGATGCATGAACTGATCACACTGCATAGGTTGCGCTGGCATGGCCAGGTGTTGCGTATGCCAGTCGACCGACTTCCTCGAAGGGCTCTTTTCGCACAACCACGTGAAGGGTGGAAGAGAGCCGAAGGCGGTTAAACAATGACTTGGCAACGAAGTGTAAAAGCCATTACCAGCAAACTCAGCTGTGCTGGTCACTGCCGTCTTCCTGGAT